CACTCTATTCTTGATACAGGCCAGGATGCCATTGGCCCTCTTGGCCACCTGGGCACACTGCTGGCTCATGTTCAGCCGGCTGTCAACCAACACCCCCTGGTCCTTTTCTGCCAGGCAGCTCTCCATCCACTCCTCCCCAAGCCTGTAGCGTTGCATGGGGTTGTTGTGACCCAAGTGCAGGACCCGGCACTTAGCGTTGTTGAATCTCATACTGTTGGCCCCAGCCCATCAATCCAGCCTGTCCAGGTCCCTCTGTAGGGCCTTCCTACCCTCCAGCAGATCAACACTTCCACCCAACTTGGTGTCATCTGCAAACTTACTGAGGGTGGACTCAATCCCCTCGTCCAGATCATCAATGAAGATATTGAACAGGACCGGTCCCAACACTGAGCCCTGGGGCACACCACTCGTGACCGGCCGCCAACTGGATTTGACTCCATTCACCACCACTCTCTGGGCTCGGCCGTCAAGCCAGTTTTTAACCAAGTGCAGAGTGCACTTATCCAAGCCATGAGCAGCCAGTTTCTCCAGGAGAATGCTGTGGGAGACAGTGTCAAAGGCCTTACTAAAGTCCAGGTAGACAACATCTGCAGCCTTTCCCTCATCCACTAAGTGGGTCACCTTGTCATAGAAGGAGACCAGGTTAGTGAAACAGGATCTCCCTTTCATGAACCCATGCTGGCTGAGCCTGATCCCCCAGTTGTCCCGCATGTGCCCCATAATTGCACTCAAGATGATCTGCTCCATACTGACCCACCCATACTACCAATTATGTCCTCTTCAATGCCCTGCCCTTCTCCCTCCTTTGCCTACCTTAGCTTTTTCTTCCTGAACTTCTATATACAGTTGTGTTACTGTCCTTATGCTCATGCAGTTAGATGGGTGTAACAACTAGATATGCAGTTCCATGCACTTCACTCTAAGCACTACAGCATGCAAACATCACAAAATGGAACCTTAGAGAGCAGTTGTATTTGCCTACTTGATAGAGGAAATCAATGAGCTGAATTAGTATATGTGACATTTTTAGAAGAAATGATTAGGTACTGAATTCTATGGTGAAAAATAAAATAGTTCTGTTTTCTGTATTAATAAATATGTTGGCATGAAATAATATGTACTAATTGTTTTATTTCATTTTAGTTTGCTTGAGCACAGAATTTTAGAAATGGAAGAAAGGCATAAAGAGGAGCTGGACACTTTGAAGGAGGAAAAAGAGAATCTACAAAGCTTGGTCACACGTCAAAGCAACATAATCCAGGAACTAGAGAAGCAGTTAAACAAGGCAACAAGCAATAACAGTGTCCTGCAGAAACAGCAGCTTGAATTGACGGATACAGTTCACACGCTGATCACCCTCTGTTCCAAGGAAGGAGGTAAGAAAGTAGCATTATAAAACATTAGAAGTACTAGGAAATTTCTTCTGAAATAAGTCCTGAATTTTTGGAAAGGCAGAACTTAATGAGCTTATTCCAAGAACGAAAAGGACATTATGATTGAGGACAAAAGAGCTGAGAAGAACCCACAAATCAAATAAGGTTCAGACAGTGCTGAGGCTGACCCTTGTACTAACGGCCATTTTTTATTTTTTGAATTTAATATCACTGAGTTGTTATACCTTGACCATAGCTGATGTAGGCCATAATTCCATTGACTTCACATTAGCAATACTGATTCGTTCCTCTGAGCATCTCTCTCCTTCTGCTGGGAGTAATGCAACCAACCATGGATGTTAACTTCATAGATGCCTATATCTAATATACTCTAGACTTCCTTTACAATCAATGGAGAGAACAGGGTACTAAACAAAGGAAAGTAACCCAGAACTTTATACTTATATATGGGTGATAATGTTGATGAACTTGGATTTAGGCACTTATGGTGCTATAGATATCCAAAAAAGTAATCTCTCCTCTTGAATGAGATTTTATTTATAGTAATGGATCATTTTTCTTCCTTCTGCCTTGCTGGATTTTGTTTGTTTCTTTCTGGGTGCATTAGGCACACTGCAAACGCAAAAGATAAAAATAACCTCTTTTGAAAGAAGGGGTTGACAAAGAGTCTAGGACAATTGTCCTCAAGTCTGCCTTTCCTAGTAAACAGGTTTCTTACAGAGACTGAGAAAGAAATTCAGGTAGGATTTCAATTTTCCAATGCTAAAGACACTGCAGAATGTCTCTGGAAAGAAATTCCTTTCATCAGAACTGGTCAAGGGAGATGGGTGAATGGAGACCACTGTAAAGGATCGAAATGGAACACTGGAAAGAAAAAATTAGTAACTACAAAAAACAAGGCAAAGTCATACAGAAGAGAGGGAAGAAGAAACTTAAGGGAGAATATAAAAGAACAGACATATGCTAAGAATAACAGCTAAAAGGGGATTAACAGCTGTGCCTGGTATGGCATGCAGAGGGTTAAAAATACCAGGGGAAATAAAGTTGAGGAGAGAAAATAATATCCACCTGGGAAGAAGCCATCAAAACCCTTCTGAGAAAGGGTACAGGGTAAACTTAGAGAGAAACTATAGATGTGTGAATTGTGCTAACTGTTCAGTGAGTGTGGAAGCATGGATGAAAGAGGTCTATGCGAGGTTAAGTACCAGCAGTCCAAAGAGTCCAGCATATTTGGTCATTGTAATTCTAGAGCTCGAAGTGCCATAAATTATCTAAAAAACAAAAAGCAAAAAACAAACAAAACCCCCCAAACAACAACCCCATCCTCCCAATCAAAACCTTGTCACTTGAATCGTTATTCAATACTTTGTTTAAGAGGCAGAAGGACATATTAGATCATTCAAACTATTCAGTTCAAGGCAGTGTGGGTTTGCTCTCTACTATATATTCCCATGCAACTTGTGTGGCTTAAATCTGAACTGCTCCAGTGACGAGGATTACATCTCTTCCTTTGGAAGTGTTGCATGCTCGGGCCCGTGTTGATAGACTACTTTTTTTTTAAAAAACTTTTTTTTTCCCTCATGTTCATTCTAAATGTTCCCTTCTGCTTATTCTGTTATACTTTTCCCCAGCATTTTGAGTTAAATAACATCCTTCATAGTAGGCTGTTCTCATATCAGTAGAGAAACGTTGTGATGCAATGCAAATCCTTTATTATGTTTTATGGTCTTTTGGCAAAGAAACCTGGCAAAGCTATGTTCAGAGTGTTCTAATAGAGCTCAGGAGTACTTTAAAATTAATATCAAAATGAAAGATATATTATTCTCATATAGAGATATACTGCAAGTCCTTTTTAAGGTTAGAGATTTTCTAATAATTTTGAGTTTGATTCAAAGAAAAAAACGAAACAAACCAACATTTTTCCTAAACTTAGTTTCCTCAGCTGCTTCTTATAAAAACTTTGAGTGAGGATTGCAGAAGTGAATGTTTAAAATTGGGCTTCTGGGTACAAATTCAGGTGCCTGAAAACTTGAATTTTCAGGAGTTTTTTTACTTCTGAGGAGCTGTGGAAGCAAAAGATGCTCAGCACAGTTCAATGCTAAACATAATTTTAATAGCCTAACTCAAACTCTTGATTTTGGGCTCCATTACCTTTTGTGTATTAACATGTTCAGAATTTTCCTTGGATACCTTTTTTCTTTAAAGAGAATAATTTAAAGAGAAATAATTGCAGAAATGTTTCCACTTACTGTCTGTTTAAGTCTAGCTGACCAACATTTTCGGTAAGTACATTCACAGCTGAAAAAGGAGCCAGACAGCTTAAGTTAAAATAATAATATTATCCTGGAGCACTAGACCACTCTAATGAAGGCTGAATACTAAAGCATTACTAAAAAATAATACCAGCTTCAATCTGTGCAAATATATGTTGAAGATGGAAAAGTATGCATGCTGGGAAGTACAACTGGAGCTACTCTAAATTCACACAAAAATATGAAGTTTAGATAGTCTTACACAAGTCTTTGTGTGCACTAATGTTCAACACATAAAATATGCTGTGAGAACTGGTGTTTATCTGGAGATAGAGAATAACAAAATGTGATACATAAATCAGTGACACCACCTCTTATACTTTGGTAAATCTCAGTCATCTAATTTCATAAGAGATACAGCAAAAATGGAAATGGTCCAGAAAAGAATAGGACAATGGAAATAATTAGAGATCTGGAACAATTTCCATATGAGAGCGAGCTGTAACATACAAAACTGTTAGATGGGAATGAAGGTATGTGGGATGCTGTTATGAAAGCATACAAAATAACTAATGGTAGGGAGAAAAGGAACAGCCAATAACATTGAGATATTTTCCATTGATAAAAGATAGTAATTGAGTAAAGGTTGCTAGATACTGATAGAGATTTTTTAATTATTAGAAAGCTGAAGATCTAGCAAAGGATGGGTCCCCTGAAAAACTTCGGGCTTTTAACTAGGCACACTCATCTTTGAAAGGAAGCACAACCTAAGCGAGGCATCAAGTCTAGAAGGATAGATTGTCAAAGATTAGTAACTCTCTAAGGATGAACACAAGAGTTGAGAGGAATCGCAAAGCCTAAACCCTGTGGTATTTTGAGAATGACTTTAAGTACCTATGTTGGATTTTCAACCATAAATTTAAAATGTAAGTAGATATGTTTTATATTACATTTACATGTATATATTTTAAAAAAACAATATCAGTATCAAGAAACCTAAAAATCTCCCCCAAGATGAGTCACAGAGAGGAAAATTATGTTCTTCCTTGCACAAATCATAGTATTCAGGATTTTCCAATTTGTGAAACTGAAAGTAGTAATTTTAAAACTATTTTTTATAAAATAACAATAATACAGATAAACAACATCATTTGAAACCAAACTGATGATAACCATTGGTTTTTGATTACAAAACATGAGATAAATTTCCTCCAATAATGACATAACCATATCAGAAGATTTATTTTTAGATTAATTTCAATAAGTTGGGAAACTTTCAGAACTTTTCCTGCTAGGAGCCTGTGAATAATATAGCTGAACAGTGTAGAGATACAGGGCTGAACAGAAACTGCTTTTGTTTAGTTTTACACTCTGAGAAGCTTAGCTAACATAGTCCCTAGTCCTGGATGACAACGCTAAGAAATCTGCTTTGGTACTTCCACTGTGGCTAGACAAACTAGAGAATTTCTGAAGGATATAAAGAAAAATAAGGAAGAGAGAAAGAAGTAAAAGCCAAACAAAGGATAATTTTTTAAAATATAGATGGATCTAAATACAAAATCCAGTTCCCACTGTCAGTGCCAGTTTTGGTACAGACCAGTTTTGAGATGGGGGCCACCTGTAAAACTTGGAATTGTTTGTGAGTTTGGTTTCCAAAATACCACCCACCTCTATCCCAGTGAGAGCGATTCTAGGATTTCAGCTGCATGTAATCCTTAAAATAGACACTCTAATAGGTCACAAAGCCTCCAGAGAGTCAAATAGATGCAGGATACCATGGGGACTCACATGTCTCCATTTTGGCCTGTGTCTATGGCTAAATAGATTTGTCACACTGTTTAAGCGTTTTTTAGGCAGGGACAACAATCTTGGCAGTGGCCGCCAATAAATTTCTAAAATAGAATTTCTAAAAAAGCAGCACTTTCAGACACTAGCCTTCCAATTGAAATGATTGTTCGTTGTGGTGAAAATTTAAAGTAACTTTTTAAAGATTAAGTAATCTCCAAATTCAAATATGGATAAATGCCTAAAACTTTTACTCTTCCCTAACAAAAGACAGAGAAATAGAAACATTGAGGTGAAGGCTTAATTAATCATCATAGAGAGATTGCACAACTATCTCCAAGACTGTAGAAGTCCTTCACCCATAGAAGATAACAGTTGGATTGAGATCATATCATTCTTTGCAAAGGTCAACAAAGATTTTGTGATTATTGTTGTCTTTAAACTGTTCATTCGTCCTAACACTTTGAATATTATTTGTCTGAGGATGGATAAAGCATTTTGGCACATTGCTGTCACTGTCAAGCAATAAATCTGTAACACAGTAACTAGTTTAGTGACAGACTTTCTAAGCTTCCACATCAGAAAATTACTTATGAAGAGGATATGTAGTGCTAAGTAGAGTCACACAAATGTTGCTTAAAAAGAAAAATACAAGGAATACACTGCAAATTACGTTAAGCAATAGGTAATATCATTATCCAAGAAGTGTATACAAGTTCGAACCAAGTAATTCAGAAATTGTATTGGTCCAGTGGGAAATTATGTTTCAAGTCAAACATCACAAAATGTGCCCAGTCAAAAGTCACATACCTTTTCAAATACATTGTCCTTTTTTTTTCCAGTAGAATAAAATAGATCTAGAGTGTCTATTGTGTTAACATTAATTTGCGTAACTTAGGATAGCTGCCCAAGTACTCCTACCCAACAGGATAAGGGAATGTAAAA